GGGGACAGCCAGATCTCCGTCCGTGCTCTGGCCTGCTTTTATAGCTCTATAGACCTGGGACTCAGCAGTGACTAATCTCTCTCTTAGCTTATTAGACCATCTCCTTCCAGGCCCATCTCACTTCTGTTTTAACCTTGCTTCAGATTTGAGGCCTGAGGCTGGGGAGTCACTGAAAGGACTCCACTCTGCCCTCACTGCCACTTCTCCCAAACTTGTCATTTTCAGAAATGCATCTTACAGATACAGTCACGCGAGGGAATAGCAATTTTCCTACATGGGTGTATTATAGTCTTGTTTGTTTTCCAGCTGAATATTTGTTGTCTGGTTTTTTGACACAGGATTTCTCTGTATAACAGCTCTGGCTGTCCTGGAACCTGCTTTGTAAACCAGTCTGGCCTCGAACTTACAGATGTGCCTGCCTCTGCTGGCCTCACGCCTATTCATGGCTGGGATTAAAGGCATGCCCACTGCTGCCCGCCTTCGTCCTTCAGTTGAATCTTAATATATTACCCAGGCTGGCTGTGAGCCTTGACCATCTTGCCTCAGCCTCCTAAGTTGTTAGAATTACAGGTATGTACCACTGCACCCAACTGCTGGCATTTTGTTTGTTTGTTTTGTTTTAAACAAATACTTATTTTAGGCTGGGTGTGGTAGTACAGGTCTTAAATCCCAGCACTTGGAGGCAGAGGCAGGTGGATCATTGAGTTTGAGGCCAGCTGACCTACACAGCAAGTTTCAGGACATAGAGAGACCTTGTCTCAAAAACCAACCAATCAACCAACCAATGTCTATATGTGTACCTGAGTATATATGCAACATACACATATCACATGATTTTGTGTGTGCTCATGAGTGCGTGTGCATGCACATGCACTTGTGAATATGTCTATGGAGGCTGGGGATTGACTTTAGATATCTTCTGGAGTCCTTTCTCACCTTATTTTTTGAGACAAGTTTCTTACTGAACCTGGAGTTGACTAAAGGGGCTTTTCCTATTTCATCTAAAACAAGAAAACTTTTCCAATTGTATTTCCCTGCCTTCTGCTTCCTGTGCCTCTCTCTGTCCCCGACCTTCTGACTTCCCCTCACTATGGTCACTTCCAGTCAGCTGGTTGCTTGCTCTGCCTCTTGACCTATGGTTGATTTTATTTTAACGCAATCTTGGGTTCATAGTATGATCAAAATCCTGCAACAGGTGTACACCACCATGCCCAGCTAAGATATCTTAATATTTTAATGTTTTGTTTTGAGTCAGCAAAAAATTTTTCCCAGTTAGTATTGTATATGTGTATGCTCCTTTGTGTGTGTGTGTGTGTGTGTACATCCCAGGTGTATATACATCTTCTGTGTGAGTGTGCATGCTCCTGGGTGTGCATACATCCTGTGTGTGTGTATACAATCTGTTTGTGTACATCCTGTGTGAGTATGTATGCTCCTGTGTTTGTGCATCCTGTATGTATGAGTGCTCTCGTGTGTGTGTGTGTGTGTGTGTGTGTGTGTGTGTGTGTGTGTGTATGCTCCTGTGTGGAGGCCAGAGGCTAAAGGCTAGTATCAGGTGTCTTCTTCCAGCATTCTCCATCCTATTTTTTTGTTTGTTTGTTTGTTTAGGGGTTTTTGTTTTGTTTTTGGAGACTCTGTTTCTCTGTGTAGCTTTGGAGTCTGTCCTGGAACTCACTCTGTAGATCAGGCTGGCCTTGAACTCACAGAGATCCACCTGCCTCAGCCTCATGGGTGTGCACCACCACACCTGGCTATGCCTGCCTTTTCTAAGTGTGGGTTTTGGGCATACAAACTGAGGTCACCATTTTTTGCATGGGAAGCACTTTACAGACTGAGCCATCTCCCAAGCCCCAAAAGGGTCCTTTAAAGTCTCCTCTGAGCAGAGGATTGTGGTGAGCACCTGTCATCCCAGCACCTGGGAGGTAGAAACAGGAGGATTGGGAGTTCAAGGTCATCTTCACTCTAAAGTAAGTTGAGGCCAGCCAGGGCTCCATGAGAACTGGTCTAAAGAAAGAAAAGTCCAGGCACCTAGTGATGAGCCCCTCCCCCTCTCCTACCCCAACCTCAGTGAGTTTCTGGGACTTTAGGGACCCTCAGCACAGCAGGGAGCCACCATCCTGTCTGAGACTGTTTCTACAACAGAACCTAATGTTTAATGTCCCTAGGACAGTGGTTTTCAACTTTCCTAATGCTGCAACCTTTTAATACAGTTCCTCATATTGTGGTGATCCCAAGCATAAAATTATGTATTTTTTGCCACTTCATAACTATAATTATCTGATATGCAACCTCCAAGGGGGTCAGGACCTACAGGTTGAGAAACACTGCCCTAGTGACAGGAGGCAGACTCTGGTGGGAAGGATGTGCTGGGCCCACCTAGCAGCAGGAGGGTGAGGAGAGACAATGGCAGACAGGAAGCAGGCGCCTGAACAGAGGAGGGAAGGACAAGCAGCTTGCAGCGACTGAGCTAGCTGTTACCATGTCTTGTAAGTCACAATAAAGGAAGGGAGATCACAGGTCTGAGGTGACTGATTTGTTGAAATGAGCCTAGATTCAAAATGCCTCCCCAAGAAAGCTGTCATTCCTAAATCCTGCAGAGTTGTCCTTCAGGGACATGAGTGTCAGGTGATGGGCTTGCTTATGGGTAAGGATAGGGACAGTTTCTTAACACTTTTTTTTTTTTTCCCCTAGAAGGGCAAGCTGCTCTTGCTCATGGGTGATTTGATTATGTCCTGTAGTTCAGTCCTGGGGCATGCTCCCCTCCTTGTTCCTATCCAGACTCTTCAGTTAAGGGTCTTCTGGAGGAGCCCAGGCTGGCCCACTGTGTTCCTCTCAAGCTGATGACATGGCAGGAGCCATGCTGTGAACACACAGCACTGCCTGTCCAGCCATGGCCTCTGGGCCCACTCTAACATGACACTAAACCTTAAACCAGAACAGATCTTTGTATTCATTGTCATGTAGGACCAGCGTGCTGAAGACTACCTATCATGGCTAGAATGTCTGTTTCACTCACCTCCTGTACTTAAGGGCAATTCTGCCTAATGGGAAGAAGTGAGTCTGGTGTCTGGAGCAGTTGCTGTGAGGAGCTGAGGCAGATGATCATGGACTACTGTTAAGGCGAAATCTGCCTGTGCATTGGCATGTGTTCAGCTGTGTCTCGAGGTGGCTCAGTTGTTTTTAGGACACCATCACACCCAATGACAGGGCAGCTCTGTGAATCATCCCTGTGTACCAGTACAGGGAGGTCCGGTCCATTCAGATTCCCCACTTACCATCTTGTGCTAGGCATGTCCTTGGGTATCCAGGAAGACTTCACTTGGAAAAACCTGGCACCATGAGTCTTGGGTGGCATTAAGATCATGACCTTGTCATACAAGTGTTTAAGAGCCAGGGAGCTGAGGCTTTTGTCTCCTCATGGCCCCCAGAAAGTGAACATTACCATCTGCTCAGAGCTCCTTCAGTCTTTCTGTGGTCTGTTCTTGACATGAGAAGTAGACTCTTAGTGTCTTTCACTTGATGGTGAAGCAAAGACTAGGTAGGATATGTGTCATATGAGCCTCTTAGATGTTTTAAGCAAACACAGGTATGAGTCTTGGAAGGTGTGGCTTTATCAAAGTTAAATCTGGGAGGAGACAGGCATATTTCACTTACTTAGTCAGAACCTTGAGCAATAGACTCTTGGAATATAGGAGCCATGCAGAGGAAGGATTTGGCCAGAATATCTCAATGAAAACAGGCAACAGGCTGTTTTGTCTTCTGATGCTATCACTATGGAGCTCAGGCTGGCCTCAAATTCACAATCCCCTGCCTCAGCTTTCCAAGTGCTAGGATGTCAGCCATGCCCTACCATGCCTGAATTGACTGTTTGCTCTTTTTAGGCTATACGGTGTGGTTAGGAAAGAGTGACATTAGGTCTGTTTGCATGAGGGGTGGTCACTGCTAGTGTTGAGGGCTCTGCAGGATGGACACCTGAGAGATTGTGACTTTATGTAACAAGATTACAGCTGATTGAACTCCCATAGATAGCACTGGTGAGCTGCCCTCCTTGAGCCTGAGGTTGGTATCCCAAAGCTGGTCCTACCCGGAGGGCTTTCTCTTTCCCTGGGCCATTTTGGTGGTGGCTTTTATCTTGTCTGACACAAGTGGTTGCTGTGTGAGTGGGCGAGTCCATACCTGCTTTTCAAGCCCCCAACGTGGTTCTTGACTTGTGAAAGGTTCTGGCAATTCTGAGCATCATTCCCTTCCTGGGCTTAGGCTTGATGGAACACATGCTTTTCTGGACCTAGCTGCTTCTTGTCATAAGGCAAGCAGTAGGGAGAGAGGAAGGTGAAGATGAACAAGTGCATGACATCCCCACATGTTTCTTGACCCCTGCCACTTGTTTTTGTGGTTTCCAGAAGGTTGATATAAGGCTGCATCTTCGGTTTCTTCATAGTTCATTGACTTGCGGGAGGGATCACAGTAGCCGGGTCTAAAAGAGAGAACATCTGAACTCTACCATGCCTGGAAAAACCCTGAAGCAGATGGGGTTGTTACAGGCTACAGCATGTCACACTGACCATTGAGATCCTGTGCTTGGCTAGGGGTAATGTGCTGCCTGAAAACAACAGAATGTGGGGTCTTACCATGTGTGGGGCTTCTCTGAGGGTGGTTGTGTGAAGCAGTAATGTCTCTGGGACCTGGCATCCACAATGAGACCAGCTGAGGAGGGCAGAACATGCACTACTGTTGCTTCACTGGGTGTGCCTGAAGCACCAGAGCAAATTCAGTTCATGCCCCCCAGGTATGGACTCACCCACTTCAGGTCTGAGGTATGGCATGACACAGTGGAAGTATGTGTCTACCTGGACTGGATTCCCACAGCATCCCATTGATGCTGCCTTAAGCCTTCCTAAGGGAAGGAATGTGCCGGCCTGGGCAGATTTCTAGTTGGGTGTTCAACTAAAATTAAATTCCAGCACTAACTTGGGTTTTTACTTCCCCTCCCTACCCTCAAGGTTGGCCTCCGACAGCTGGACATGTCCTTGCTCTGCCAACTGTACAGCCTCTATGAGTCCATTCAGGAGTACAAGGGAGCATGCCAGGCAGCCTCCAGCCTGGATTGCACCTATGCCTTGGAGAATGGCTTCTTCGATGATGAGGAGGACTTCCAGGAGCAGGGCCCTCTCCAGGAAGGCCAGGGCCGAGGCCCTCCCCGGGACTTGTCACTGCCTGTTACTCACCTCTCCAGCAGTGACTGGATTCTGGAGTCTATCTAGTACCTCTGGAGTCCACTGACACAGACAGACTGGCAGCACCTGTTTGTTTATCTCTCGCAAGAAAGTACATCTGCTCCTCATGGTAGACAGTCTATGGGGGGCGCACATGGGGACATGTGCCACTAGTTTATCTTGTGGGTATGGAGTGTGTTACCAAGTGGGACAGCCTGCTTAGCTGGCTGCAGGGTCTCCCCCCCACGTTAGAATATCTTCGGCAACGTTAGTAGCACCTGCTGGACACTGACAAAGTTCCATGTGGAACGCCTTTGCTGGTATTTTGGGTGAGGTTGCTCTCAGTCAGCTTCTTTGTAGGTGGCAAGTGTGTTATACCCTTGTTGGTTTAGGAATGTCATGCTGACCTGTGAAATATGCCCGGAGTCCCCAAGGCAGCCTGGATCTTTCTGTGCTGTTACGAGCTGTTAGCCTCTTCACTCAGATGTATTTGAAAGTTGCATCACTGACTCGTGAGAGCGTTCTAGAAGCTCTGGTCAACTGCTTTTCTGCAACTACCAAAATTGACATCAGGCATAGGTAGAGAGAAAAAAAATGAATGAATATACATTGAATAGAGAGAAGAAAACATGAGACCAGCTAAGATTTGTATTACTCATCATAAGACGGTGACTGTTTATGGTTACAGACTCTGTGAACTTCAGTGTTAGAAAGCAATCTTTCCAAACAGCAGTTACCCGAAGCCTTAATATATTTATTAAAACACATTATGTATGAGAATTTCACACTGTAGGTTAAATATGTATAAAATACCCAACTGTCTCTTGCAATGTATCATTTTGCTTGGGGGTCTGGGGATGTGGCTCAGTGGGTCCAGTGAGTCCCTACCATGTATGAAGCCTGGGATTTGACCTTAGTGTAAGTCAACTGGGCATGGTGGTGTATGCCTGTAATCCCAGGACTGAGAGAGAGGCAGGAGAATCAGAAGTTTAAGGTCTTCCTTGATTACCCAGACAGTTTAGGGCCATTCTGGGCTATCCTTTCTCAAACAAAACAAAAATTATATTCTGAGTTCAGACTTATTTACAACCTGCACGTGGTTCAATATAACAAACATTGAAAGAAGTTTAGGACTTTTTTTGGCTATTAGATGAATTATAGTAGATAGATTTATGCCAGGCAGTGGTGGTACATGCCTTTAATCCCAGCACTTGGGAGGCAGATGGAGGTGGATCTTTGTGAGTTCCAGGCCAGCCTGTTCTATAAAAAGCAAGTTCCAGGATAAGCTCCAAAACTACAGAGAAACCCCTCCTTGAAAAACAAAAAACCTAAAACAAAAAAACCCAAAAAAGATAGATTTATTTTTCTGTTAAGTTTGGACAGTCATTTCATTGGTACCAGGACACATTTACACCAAGATTTCACCTTTTTTCTTGGAGAATGCCAGGTTCTTTGGTTCTCTTTTAGTGAGCAGTCTGCTCAAACATGCCCTCTTGAGGTGAGCACGGGGAAGTACAATTTAACAATTGTATGAACTTTCCCTGGGGAGTTAAGGTATCTACTCACCTCAAACAGGGCTGGGCCCTCCCACATCAATCATCAATCAAGAAGCACCCCAGATATGCCTACAGGCCAGCCTGATGGAAAAAATTCTCAACTGACTTTCCCTCTTCCAAGATGACTCAAGCTTGTGTTGACAAATTAACCAGCACACTGTCCCCGCAAGGTACAACAGCCAATGTCATCTTGATCAGAGCAGCTATACCATCAAATCCTGGAGATCAGACCTATTGCCAGTCCCTCAGGGGTCTAGCGATCCTCCTCCCTGAGATTCCTTTCTATAAAGCCCTCCCAGCTATGTGGAATTCTGTCCCAGCTACATTTGGTCCCCTGGTCTGGTCTTGGAGGTGAAAGAGTGTATAGAATGTGAGAGGTTTTACCACAGCAGCAGAAAGCCAACACAGGACAGGCTGCATTTAATTACATAAGCATTAACCTGTCTGCTATAAGGAACTAGGTTAGACAGAGTAAGACAAGAGCCCCTGTTCAGCATCTCTGTTGGCAGTAGTCAAAGGGGGGGGGATCGGTGAGTTGCTACCAACCCATGGCAGAATGGTTCAGACAGGACAAGAAATTGTAAACAGCCCTACTTCAAGGCTAAGTCCAGCTTAGCTATGAGATAAACCCTAGGTCTGCTGCTTTCAGCCCTGATTGCATTGAGGTCTCTTAGAGAGCGTTGGGAAGAGCTCCAGCAGCAGTGCCCCACCCCAAATCTCAATCTTAGATGATGGAGGGTCCGAGCCCACTGGCAGATGGGAGGAATAGGTCAGTAAAGGCACATCCCACCATGTACCTCTCCATTGTAAACAACCTGGGATTATCTACAACTACCTTTATTCCCCCCCAAATTACCTACAGTTGCCTTAAAAAAAATTCACTTGACACAATAAAATTGCTTTTAGTGCATTTTGTTTATTTTTTAAAAGTGTGTGACAAGTCAGGACAAAGGCAGGTCAGATAAAATGAAGCCACTTTGGAAAATGGCCACACTGTGGGGAAGACATCTTGTTTGTTTTAGGGTACTTAAGGCAGCTCTGACCTTGACTCCAATCAAAACAGGGAGAGGGGATGGGGGGAGAGTGCAGACAGCAGGAACTTGCCTGTTTCCTGCCAAGTGTGTCCTCACAAGGTGTCCTCTGGGAAGTGCAGAGACAGTTGCAGTAGAAACCATTTCACTTGCTTTCTTGTTTGGGATTTTGAGCAAGGTCTCACTCACTCACTCACCACTCACTCACTCACTCACTCACTCACTCACTCACTCACAGGCTAGCCTTAGACTCATGCCACTCCTCCTCCAGTCTCAGCTGTCCGAAGGTGGAGGTTTTAACATTTGGATCTGCCCCCTTGGTTAGAATGGAGTACACCCTGCACCGCCGGCCTTGAAGCTCACTGGCTGAGGTATTATAGTTTTGTGCACTGCCCTTACACCCATGGGGGAAAACCCTGCTCACTTTGGCAGAGAGCCAAAGTGGATGGGCACAGCCCATCACCTGGGTGTTTAGCAAAGGTGAGAAACAGCTTCCCAATGTTGCCTGAAAGTAGAACCCCAGGAGTTTGTATCTGAAGCATGTGTGGAGAGGGCCTTTATAGAGCTAATTAATAACCTTGAAATGGGACTACTTTGTATTACCTAGATGGGTAATGCCACCAGTGGTATCTCATAAGGAGAGTAGAGGAACACCTGTTTGGATGGAGACTAGAGAGATGCTGGCCAGTTATAAGCCAGGGAGTGTGCACAGCACCTGTCCCTACAGCAGTGTGTTCTCCCTTAGTACCCCCAGGGGGTGCACAGCTTGGGGAACACACACACAAAACTGCTTAGGTTCCCTGCCTACCTTCCTTATGCAGGAATGAGCATGTCCCAAGCTTCCTATCTGCAGGCACTTGGTATAGATCCCTGGGCATCTTTCTCTGATAGCTCATCATCAGCCAACATTTAACCCAACACTGTCTTCACCTTCCTGAGAGCCATTGAGGTCATCAGGTTTCTTCTGGTCATTATGGGGAATTAATAAGCCATAACTGTAACACCCTTAAAACTGCCTGGCACAACTCAATAGGACATGCAGCCATTTATTAAATGGGAGTAGGCAGGTCGGATCCTATTTCACGTCCCAGGTTCTGGCTTTGGTGCTCTTCCTTTGTTGATGCTTCAGAAGCCAGCATTAAACTTTCAGCTAGAACACTTCCCTTCACAATGTTTTCTCACTGTGATGGCAGGTGAGGGTAGGCATGAGTCGCACTGGTAACTACTGTCAAGGGTCCCAGCAAAACGTTCACTCCCTTTCCTCACTGCTTCCTTCAGGCACACACAGACGTACACTGAACCTGGCTCCAGCCACCTGGTTTCTCTACTTATCAAAACTTCTGGTCTCCCCTCCCCGCACTGTATTTGAAGAACAGTAAACTGTTCTTTCTTAACAAAGAAATACGGACCACAAGAGACCATCACCAGGCTACAGTTAGAGGCTGCCCATCAGACCAAGAACAAGGGACCTTGATCTTGTCACTTCTCTTGTGTGACTATGCAATCCCATTAGCAATTCTGTGGTTTCAACATTATCTGATTAATGCAGCCTTGCAGATGTCTAAAAATGCCCTCTCATGGGCCCCTGTGTGCTATGCTGCCTCCCCAGTTTGGTCCAAAGCACTCCAGACACTGGTATCAAAGAGCACTTGTCCCACAGGCTGTGCTGTCTGCAGCACTCATGAGCAGCGTGGTCTCTCTTGGCATTGAAAACAAGAGCTAGCAGTGGGCTCTTGTTTCTTCCTCTGCGACAGGGTCATTCTATGTGGCCCAGGCTAACTTCAAACTTTCCATCCTCCTGCCTCAGCCTCCTGAGTGCTGGGATTACAGGGAATGTAACTCTTGGCTTCAGCCTGTTTATCTTTGTGGTCACGAGGCAGGTTTTTCTGGAGTGCATGTGCCTGTCTACCTTCCTTGCTTCCTTCCTCCCTCCCTCCTTTCCTTCCTTGCTTGCTTCCTCCCTCCCCCCACTTCCTTCCTTTCTCCCATTAATATTTGGTGTGTTAACAACTTGCGGAAGCTGGTTTTCTCTTTCCAATATGTGGGTCTTGAGGATGGGACTCTGATGGTCAGGCTCTGCAGCAGGACCTTTATCCTCTGGGTCATCTCACCAAATGTTTGTTTTAGTAAATCACATGCAAGTCCCTGTACCCAGGACTGTAAAAACCTGAAACCAATGAACAAACTAAAACAGACCAAACAAAAGGTCAGAGCAAAATGAAGCTAACAACTGTAGTCTAGTACAGGTGTGCATTTTTACTAAGACTTTCCAACATATTTGTCTTTCAAGGTTTTCATTAAAAATGCTGAAAAACATTGGGGGCTGTTAGCTGACAGTATAGTTGAGTGTAGGGAAAGCCCCTCTCACACTGACAGCTCTCACCTCTTCTTTGGTTAGCCCATAGGAGATTCACGCATGTTAGGCAAGTGTCTAGCACTAAGCTACATCCTAGCCCTTTCTATTTTGAGGCAGGGTCTTGCTAAATTTCTCAAACTAACCTTAACCTCACTGTGCTGCCTAAGC